CAGGATTCTCACGCTCCATTGCTAGCACAATCCTAAGGCTGTGCGCAGGGAGCTACTTACTCCTCTGTCAAAATATTAGAGCACAGTGCAAGAGGGAAAAAATACGGTGCTCTCAGCCACATGACGCGACACGCGCCTTTGTTCTCACCACATGTCCTGTGTTTCAGCACCGCAACGTGAACTTCCGCAAACACAATAAAACCCATCCTTCACGACTGATTGAATGACAGACCTGATTCCCGTTACCTCTACACGGAGTTTTCTTCCCCGACAAAATATGGAGGATCAGAGGACTAAGATAAAACTGAATTAGTCTTAAAAACTTGACATTTATGGTAGTGATTAGCGCTGTCTCACCGAAGTCGTAAAGTGATTCATGTCAATTGGCAACAACTTAAGGGAGGAAGAGGTAGAATTGGTTTGAAATCAAGCAAATGGTTTGGGGGATGTTGTAAGAATTGGGCTGCCCACCGATCTTCTGTCCCATCACCCACAGTACCGGTGACTCATCTGATATAGATGCCAATAGTCATCCAAGCCTGCGTCAAAGATAGGGTTCGTCATGAGGCCCCCGTTTATAACGCCCAAGCTGCAATTGTGTTCCAGTGCCTATTTAGTCCACTAGTCATCGCTGAACTAGCTAAAGGGGGTCAAACAAACCCAATCTGGGATTCTGTGCGATGTAAAATGAGTGGCATTTCGATACCCAGCGGGAGTAGCAACCATGCCCCCAGACAAAGAACATGCATGCCCTTGAAAGATTTACTTGGCTGCTTTGAATTATTTGTAAATGGCAGCAGTCCTGTGGCAATGATCGTTGATACATTCTTCACTTTTGCTCTCAAACACAAGTTCAGTGAATAAATTGCATATGTGGTACCTTGATGCGTGATCTACCTGTGCAGTATCACGACTTTCACACCGCTGGCGCATGATGTATTAATACGATTTGTATGGCCTTCTTAAATCACATGGCAAAACTGTTTACTAGAATAAAAACCTCTCACGACACCTTTAGGTGAAACATAGGCACTCAATTTGATTGAAAATCATAATTTGAGATATGAGAACGCATTATTAACATCCGGTGCAAAAGACCTTTCCTTACAAGTCTTAGCTTTTCACGTCATTATCAAACAAAGATAGCTTGAGAAATTCCTTTTGACAACTAAGTCGCTGTATTGACGACAGTGATATGATTATAATAAAACAGTTCGATATCATAAAACCTGAAAGTTAATCTACAAGTTTGGATATTCAAGACTCCAATGGAAGGTTGGTAACACAATCAAGCATTTTAGCGTTTTTCCCTTACAATCAATATCATTCTCTTCCAAATTTTTTGTCCAAACTGGAACTTAAGGTGTAAATTAGTTCGAATCGAAAATCGGCTAAATCGGCATTATAATTATCTTGTTAAACAAGCGAACAGCACAATGACAGCATACAAACAGAAAGAGTAAATAAAAATACCCCGTCTCACGCAGGAACGCCTCATTAACACCAACAAGGCCTTTTTTCGTGTAAAACATTTTGACCACTTTGAAGGGGAAATTTCTTATTAATGCCTTTCGTAGGCATGATGTAAAAGCGGCTTTTATTATTATTATTATTTTCTTTACCCGTTTCCACATAGTCGATGAAACGTTGGTAGTACTACAACATTTGCTCTTCAGACCTTTGCTTTGTGCTTTCTCGAGGAACTAAATAAGGAATCAAAATTCCCTCATTATCGATTTATTTCCTCGATTAATATTATCGTTTCCTGAGTGGATTAAAGTGTGTGGGTGTAAAGTGATTATATAGCGTTAATGATAAGTGGTAGCAACCGGATTAGATTTTATAAAAATATCCCAGACATGCAACTGTAAATTGTACGTCGATATATTTGCTATGCTTAGGCCTCGAGGTATATCCAAACACTTTAGATTATACATTATTTGAAAAAAGTGATTTCACCATTTATTACAATTAGTAGAGAGAAATAAAATCCATCTCTAAAAGTTCGTTACAGTTTTTAAGCAGCGTTCTTGTGTACCCATCGCATGTTAGATGACAGCATGTGAATATCCTACAAGTGCTCTTACACTCGGCTTGATCATTCCACATACATCAGTCACCTTAGTCCCTAAGATGGAATTAGTAAACATAAACAGCGTAATAGGTGGTCCCTCACGCGTTTTTGACAGAGGAGAAGGAGCGATCGAATGTTTGCTGCTTACATCGCCTGGCTAAACAAAACTAGATCGAAAGTTGTAATCTCTTCAACATGATTCGACAGGCCAGACCACCACGACACCCATTCGTAAATATAGATCACCTTTATCGATCTGTCTGGCTGAGGATAAAGCAATCCATCAGGTATGCAAAATCATAACCACTCAAGCATGTATACGTTGTACCTTTTTTCCATATTAGTCGGCAGATTTTAATGATTATCTATTGCATAATATTAGAGATTGCAATGCACACCACTACATTGATGGTGTATTCGGGAGTCTACAATAAAATGATTGGGGAAAGTCGTTATTTTGTCAAAAAAGGACCAAAAACGCAAGTTTAAGCGCCATGGTAGGATATCCTTTAAAGGAGATTATTCTGGGGCACAAACACTACATTAATGTGTACTAATGGCCGTTGAAATTCATGAAAGTGACTAGCGCCCAGAAACCTAGCAGAACGTATCGGTTGCCATCATTTAATGGAGAGGTATTGTGGATTTTAAGAAGTACCACGAGGATGACCCTGACAATAATTTGGGTGAGATGAAGGTACAAATTGGATGCCTTTGGTTGATTGTGAAGAATTTCACGGTGTTCTGCCAATGTTAAACAAAATCCCATCACAGGAAAGGGCGCCAGATGCAGCGGTTTCCTTAATTTGTTACACACTTCGGTTTTATCCACCTACGTTCAAATGTCCTATAATAACAATGGGCTTAAACAAACTTTAAGATTCAGATCAGTTAGTCGTATTCTTGTGAATATGCTGAAAATGCTACCACTTTCTAATTATTGCATCCAAGTTCTAATAAGAAACAATTTTGGTAATATTAAAATGGGAACAACGTTAGGCAAGTGGCACTTGAAGAGGCGTAACACTGACGTAAAATATTTCACTTGTATAGGGCTCTTGATAAATTATTAGATTTCGTACAGCAAGGCATTTTAAAGAATTCCTGAAATAAAATTTACTGTGTGTCATCAGAGAAGCTAGGCATTGCGTCAAGACTAGAATTATTACTTTTTATAGATCGGTAAACAATGCTGTTGCCTCAACTAATGCTTAACGACACGAGGTGAGCATTACCTTAGCTGAATTTATTTAGGAATGGAAATGTGTCAGTTAAAGGCTGGATTTGGAAAGGAAGTTACAACAATGGGCTTTGACTGGCTCTTAGAAATTCAACTTCAAATGTACCGGTTAATTGAAGGGAGCCGACGTTGTACGATCATTTAGGCCAACTTATACATAGGATTATGGTTGAAATGCAATTTAATCTGTCTGATTTAATAACATTTTAATCCCGAAGAATGTGAATAAAACCATTAGTAATTACCAAATGCACTTCAATTAGTGCGGTTTGATGGTGGTGGGGATGGAGGAACAGTAAACTCTATGGTTTTAATTCAATCCTTTTGCTAATGCAAGTATTTGTTGAGATTCAATATTGGAATCGGTGTGTGCGTTTATGTAGTGCATACGTATTTCACACAGTCAGTAAAGATATGCTATCTTCACTGTTGAAATGTAAAATGGGGATTTCGCTATTGATAGTCATGGGGTGCTAAAGAAACAAACGGTATTTCAACATAGTTTTAATAGACTTGTACAACTATCTAATGAAATGTCATTGAACCAATGCATTATCTTGTGTTTTTCGATCTTACCTGATTAATGTATGTGACCGGGGCCGAAAAATAGCTTTCTTAGGCACCCTAACAAAGACATCTTAAGAAATGAAAAGAAAATTTGATTCTATTGCGTCACGCGCCTTTTATTTTTCGTAAACTAACACACTCTATTATTTATGCTAAAGGAATGACAGTATTCACAAACTGTCATGGTCAATTCTGCCCGGACAGGTTGCCTTCAGATATGGGGGAGGGGAAACTGTTATCACAGCTTCTGCTCTTATTGATGGGACTGTCCCTTCGATGGATGCGTGTGAAAAATAATGTTACAATAGGCTTTAGAGCTCTAAATGGACATAACTTTTACAGAATACTTTGAATCTGGACCCAGTAATAGCAGTCTTACTGATGTAATTTCCGGACCATGCACCCCAATTTTGTTACAAATCTGTCTTCTCATCACACAATGAAGTGTCGTAGCCAAATTAGACATTTCCGGCTATAAAAGCAGTTTACAAGTTCTTAATAAGCCATTTGCTCGTCTAGATACATCAAACTTCTCAAATATTACAATGTTTCTTCTCTCCTGTGAGATCCAATGTAATTTTTACATGCGCCTCCACGAAACTACAATAACAAATTGATCCATCCATTAGGAGTGTCGCAAACCAATCAGAAACCATGATTAAGCACCATTTATGCACAACCATTTGTATCTGCGATGACCACGGTAGGAGAGACCACATAAGACTGCCACCGATTTACCCAAGCAAATAAGCTAGACCCAAGGGGAGTTTTCGGTGTGGAAATTCTGGAGAATTGAAAATGAACTTTTATAAATTAATGGACGGATCTGAAAGATTTTAGTGAATAGATCAGAGTTAATACACATAGTACAGCCATAAAATCAGCTGTACAAGAAGCGGGAACGCCCAGGAAGACATGGGAGGCAAAGTACAGAGAACGGGTAAACGTCGGTAAAGTAACCGTACTGCAAAAATAAAGGAATCCATTCATTTTACTTGATAGACAAGAGAAAATCAAGGTGTATAATCCGCACAAAAACCGTTAGATACGTTTTGTGCTCCTTCATAAAATGTTCGCTTATCAACTCTATACTAGGAATAAGATGTGGGGAGTTGCTGCTCAAACAAAAGAACTGTCGTCAGAATGGATGTAGTCACAGGCACAGTGTCCCCACATGCTTACTTGTGCCCGTTTGATGATGGTAAGTGATTTAGCAATGTCTGTACCATCTTCTTCAATGGCTAAGCTGCCCAATGGACCATCGAAATAGAGGCGATCACTTACTCGTACATCAGTACTGTTTTTGCACAACTCTGTCAGGAGGGAGGGAGAGAAAGGGTTGCCAATACTTGTCGGTGGGCTTTTTTTTACTGACACCGGCTACACTCTAATGATTAATAGCGTCCTGAAAACACCAGTGCGTAAGACACGACCAACGATCCACACCAAGCCCAAATGCAAATCATCTAAATCTAGGTCAACGGTCGAGAGTGACAATAAACCCCAACAAAGTGGAAAAGATAAATAGCATTATGTACATTGGATGCATGTCTGGTCCTTCATAAAAAACCAGCGTTTTCAAGACTGATTGTTGGAAGAAAGGTAGTAAATTACCTATTGTGGAGGATAGTATTGAGAATTCACATTCTGATATAAATAGGTGTTACAACACATGATGCAAGTTTATGAATGTTTATATTTCATGGGTGAGTGATAGGAATAGGCGAGGTCAAAGCAAACAACTGTTCCACCCACATAGATATCATATTGATTGCTTATCAGCTGAACTTTGTCGTGTCTGTTATTCCTGGCGTTGATAGTTTCTCCCCTGTGAATAAATTGCTGGTCGAGGAACAACCTAATTAGTGCCACAGGAGGGATGAGGGAATTTGGAGGAGGAAGACCGTCTCAAACGCGCTGAAAATGATGTTAACAGCCACACATGCGCACAGTCGTCACTCGTGGCAATATACATGGCTTTTAAACCACGATGTCGGTGCGGGTAATTAACATGTAAATGGATCAGCCAAGTATTCAGGCGGGTTGGAAGCGTAGAAATCCTAGTTGAAAATCTGCAAGTGTGCAATGAAGAGGAGGAAGAGGAAAATCTAAAAAGGGAGCAGCAACTCTTACGAAGTTTCGAGTTCTCATATCCATGTTGCACCACTGGCACCTGACAGGCTGTTAGCATATTCCTCCCCCTTGTACTCGTTGCATTCTGCTAGCGTATAACCAAACTTTATCCAGATTTTTCTTGAGAAGTTATTCAGTTAAATCTTTATGTCAGACGTAGTATTAAAACATGTCTTAACAGATTAACTTAACAATAAAAACAAGAAAAGGAATAAGCACATATAATAAGTATCTTTGAAATAAGCGATATTAAAAAAAATTAAATGAGATACAGGTCTAGGGTGAAAACGTAACCACGAAGTACATGTAATAACCTTATTTTCGTTGGGATTCCACAAGTGAAACTCATGGTGGTCAGCTTCATTCAGTTTATGTTAAAACTGGTTCCTAATCTACACTACATAAAGTTCAAGTTCACATAACCTCTTCCCGACTGCAAATGATTAATTCACGCGCGTTGGTAGCATCCGATTTCCTACTTGACTGCCACCGTGCAAATAAACTAGGCTTATTTTGATTAAATGGCCTCAATGTTGGCAAACTCCGAGTCACGTGATCGGGGCGTCGTTGCCCAGCTCAGTGGCCCATTCACACGACAACTGGGCCGAGAAATAGGCGCTGCGATGTTCAGCCCTGCCTCAGTGCATTCACAACGCTGTAATCTGCTGCTAGCTTGCAGTGAGTTGGCGTCTGATTCTTTGATTGTATGATGTTTGTATAAGCAAGAATGCAACTAGTTCTGATACATTTGGAGATTTACTGGGTGCTTTTAACACTACATCACTCAGTGGCAAAATCCATCTGCTTCAGTCAACCCAATCTTTCACCACCAGTGGAGCACAAAATAGTTTCCAATCGCAATTTATATGGTCGATGAGTGAAGGAACGGTGAAGTGGCTGTGATCTGTATGAAAAAAGCGACACCTTACCGTCCAATCTCCCGTTTGTAAGAGGAATCCGTTGCGTGAAGGCAGTTCTTGGCTTACAGTGACGACCGAAAAAGTATCCTTTCGCATGTTGCAGCGAGAGGTAAACAAAGCTACCCCGGAGAGTGGTTGTATGGTGAGAAAATGCTTGTCAAAACACGCACTGGCAGAAATTGTGCGGTATTAACAGCTGTAGAGGTGGGACAGTACGGCCAAACACATTCCGCCCGTGGTAAATCAGCCCCAAAGCAAGTGCATCCAAAGTGAAGTAGGGTAGGTAAAGCTGCGCCCCTGTCTTGTAGGGCGTTGATGTTTGCCATGTGACGATGTAACGCCAGCGATCTCACTACCGCATTTCTTTTCGTTCATTAATTTGATGTCTCGTTTAAAACTAGCACAAAACTTGGACGAAGGTGGAAGTCTGTGCGTTAAATTTACTAACTTGTCAAAGTACGTAAGAGGATCACAACATATTGGCTTTGGGCCCAGGCCTTTGGTATGCCCGTTTGATTTGCGGCCATAAGTCAAGTGATTCGAAGTTTCTTGGCGGTGAGAACGCTTAAAACAATTAAGAATTAATAAGCTAATGCATTGATGCTCACCTGCTTAACTCTTCAGTAAAATTACTACTATAGGTGTCCGACTAGTAGTGTCATTTAAATTTTTACAGTTGTTTATACCTAGTTACTATAAGCTTTACTTATGGAATCCAAGTGAGCTTGCAAATTCTGTGGTCTACTTAACGTTGAGACAACAGAACAATCACGAATTAATTGAACCATAATTCAAAAGCACCCTGTTATAAGAGTTGTTATGGAATTCAACCCAACGATTTGACTTTCGTATTTTCTCTTCATTTCGTTGTACGTCAGGGAAGGCTCAGCATCCACTCCTCTACCAGTTCTACCCATCTTCCTCTCCGAATACTTGGCTGATACATTTACACACTAAATGCCTGCACCAACATCATGGTTTAGACGCCAAATATGCTGCCACGGATGACAAATTTGTGCATTTGCTTCGGGCAACATAATTTCGAGTGCGCTTGAGACGGTCCTTCTCCTTTACACGGCCTCATCTATCCTACCGCACCAATTAGACCTTCACCAACCAGCAATTTATTCACCGGTGCAGAACTATCAACTCCAGGAATAGCAGCGGGAACGACAGTCAGATGATAAAGTAATCTATGTAATATCCAAGTGGATAGAACCAATCTGATTTATATTGGTTAATTTCTCTTAAACTTACCATCTAAAAGGACGAATTAGGAGTAATTGCAAAACCCACGAATAGTCAATCCGGACTGCAAGTCATATCCGAGTAACTTCGCATACTGGGTATAAAATTCTTCTTTTACGTGTACTATTCAGTTATATTTTAAATGGTTAAATAGCTTTAAGCCTTAAAACACTATGCATTTAGTATAAATAATCAGATTAGTCTTTACCTTACTTTTACATTTAGTGTTTCCTGAGGTAGCTCTGAAAGTCTCTTATCTAGAAATCACCTACATTGATAGTCATTCTAAATTAATGAAGGAGTTTCCTTGCTTTATGACTTCAAAGTGGTAGTAGTGGCGGCACCAGTGAATAACACCGACCAGCAAAGGTTGTCATTTGTCTTCGTCCGTTTATTCAAATGCGTTTTCGAACGACAACGTCTTCCTGTAAGCAAAAATTTGTATAGTATTTTGCCAGTCTTTCTAGCCGCTTGACAGCTGGCAGAAATGCCACAGACATCTTTAGACCAGCCATTACCACCGCCAAATGGGCAAAAATGGCCCCGTACAAAACAAACGCATGAGGGCATTGTTCACTAGAGGGTGTTTATTTCTGTGCATGGGAGATTCCTGATTGTGAACCATTAAAGCAGAGAATTGGCCTCCCATTCTCATTTCAAGCAAAGCATTTATTACCAAATGCAAGACAGATCTGACAGCTCTTGCGCGAATTCTACACCTTGATTTGCACCCATCAAAAGTCGAACATTTTGCTGAATGATTCTTTTCATTCTTTTTTTGGGGGCACACAATTGTCTTAGCATTTCTGCTGCCTCCGCTTTGTCCCCTTTATATTTTGGTGCATTTCAGCCTTTTCACATAGTTAATTGTTTTTTTGCAAATAAAGCGCTCTCAATCTAACTTTGGAATAAGGCCATCAAACTATCCGCAAAATTTAGAAGTCTTCATTTCACTTTGCCTCACGTTTTATGAGTTTTCATGCCTTTGAAAGCCTGATTTAATCACCTACGCCTTTTCAAGTACCCTTAGTAGATAACTTGTCACATCTTTAGTAAATTTGTTGGGAGCATTAAACAATATTTATCAAATAGCGGCAAACGGGAGTTGTCGATTGACATGGACAATTCAAATACCATTAAATGTCATCAAGATAATAAGTTTAGTATGCTGCGGATCAAATATTGCGTCTGTTTGAATTTTAAACACAATAACACAGACATTGGTAATATAATGACATTTATTTTCATCTTCATACTCTGCAGTAATTTGTCTTCGGTGATAGGATAATATTGGTATCATTTATATGACTTGTCACCTGGTCCCTTTGTATTCTCGCAATAAGGCTGATTCTGGGTCTATGCGTCATGTCTTTAAAAATATCTTTGTGAATGTTGGGAAATCCAATCCAAATGAACAATTCCGAGTTGAAATGACTGGATTAAATTCCAAGACTTAAAAAACGGGAGCCTTCAGCTGCTGGATACGTCTATTTGTCAAAATTGTATAAGGGGTAATAATGCTGCGAGGTAATATTTTAACGGAAATAGAAGAACAGCTGTATAAAAAATTATTTCGGTCTTTATCCAAGGACCCAAAAAGGGAATAATCTAAATAGGTAGCTGGGTTGCATTGAAATGCCAGCGCAATGGAGGGAAGGAATGGGAATTTGACGTGGCCGAGGGGAGTCCTTTATAAGGCCTTTCCAGTCTCTCGCGATTCGGCCTCCATGCCGGTGGCCTGGATATCTGTGCTACATTCTATGTTTGTATCTCAACCCCTCCGTTTGTAGTAAAGTCACCTAAAGATTGGTGCATCTCAAGTTTGCAGGAAGCGAATACATTGTGCTAGATAGCTTCATCAAAGGAGTCTAACAGGCAAGAATACACTGGCTCTTTTCATATTATTTGGGTGAAATTATGCTGTATTTTTCCTAAAATATCAACTAAACGATTTGATTTCTTCTGAACTTCCTACATTAGTTGAGAAGAATGCAACTCCCTTGATGCTTCCAATCAGTCTATATCCAGATTACGCTAACATGTGATTAAAAACCAGTTCCAAAATACCCATGAAGTTAAGTAATTAAGTGCACATCAACAGTCACTTACCTCACCATATTTACTTGAGCGCTTCTTGTTTTGAGTAAAAATGACTGAATGTTTTAAAACCTTGCGATGTTTTGTGCGATGAATACAATGATTTACAGACTACACTAATGGATGTTTTTGAGATCACAAATTCCACAACAAACACTTGCCTAGTACACGATTAGTTCCGTCTATTTCTTTATTTACACATGGAATAAAGGCATTTTCTATTGTGTGTAGTGGTTTGAATACACTTTATATAGGTAGTTTCTGCCGGAGCGTGTTACTCGTATTTTGAGGTTAGCTCTGTGAATACACCCTTTACGCAAATACCACTAATTTGGCTTGTGTAAGGAAATTGGTCCAAGAATGTATACTTGGCACATCCCTACTTGCAGTAGCAGAAGTCGCTGTAGATTCTAGTGATCATTCAACTACACATTCTCATTCCTCCATGAGCACGTTCAAACTGGGGTCTATTCACCTTCAGAATGACATTTAAATTAGTTGATGCGCAAATTTAAGGTCTGATTGAAAAATAGAATGGGATAGAAGCGAGTTGCTTAGTCTTTAGCCTTTCCCTAAATTAATTGACTTGGGCACTGATTTAATTGATTGAAAACTCATAAATTAATCATAACTGACACCTAATTTGACATAAAAGCACTTCTTACAACAATATCTCATTGAATAAAAGTAGTACTAAGTTCTTCTCCTCACACAGGTCAGAGACCAATCTTGCAACGAATGATAAACCATATATATGTAACCACCCCAAATTTGCCTCAACGACGAGCAGATGATGATCTTTCTTATTCATGAAGGGGAACATAACCTATTATCGTGAGTGGCTGTGGAGTTACACTACGCATGTATCATGAAAATGGAACTAATCATTTCCTCAAGACCGGTACTTTCAGCTCTTAAAAGGAACCACCTGACCCATCCTCAAACTTGACATGAGATTAGTGAAGGGGTGAAGGCCTCCATGACAACTTTCCTCCAGTGCTTTTGGTAATGTATCAGATTTGTGAGTATTTGTGACCGTCCCTTTAAGTACACTTACATCGCCTAACTAATATTACTACTTTATTTCTTAATAAATTACCATATATGTGCATATTATCGTAACAAAATAAGACCATTCTATTAGTGATATGAAGATAGGGATCGGTTTTATAAACAACGGCAGATGGCCACATTCTATATATACACTAAATCACATGCTTCCAAGGATGGTTGCTACAAAAATTTAATGGGGGATTCTGCATTATATTTGCAAAGTACACAAAATAAGGATAGATTTGCAGTACACTTTTTGGAATGAATGCGATAGACAGCAGAAATAACTTTAGATAGGCTCAGATATAGACCATTCAAAAGCGTCCATAAGAACTAGAACATTTGATGTCACCCCCACAAAGTCCGCTTGTGTCTTTCAAAGTTATCAGTTTTGCATTTTTTCTACTGTAATTAGGTTTCTTCTATCGTCTTTCCTGATCTGCGGCAATGGTGAAGATTCACTTGCATTAAGTACTGACCACAACCGCAGCAGAAGTTTACATAACGCAAAAAAATGAAAAGCAGAAGTAATTTCGTGTTTTTGCAAATTATCACATAACTTTTGATCATGTGGATCGACACACTTTCATAAGACTACCGATCAAGTACTAGTTGCATATTTGACCTTCGTATGCTAAAAAATGAATAGAATACTAAACCACAACAAATTACCCACCCTGAGAAGTGAGGGATTTAACAAGCTAAATGAATTAAAATATGCTTTGTATTTACATACAATGATTCGTTATTTGGTACTTGGTCCAGTGATTATTAATAAGCACATATATTGTAATAATTTAATCGCTTGTTTAACACCCAGTTATGGCAACGGACCTCTTAGAGTTCCGCCTTTGTACCTTCACCACGTAGCCTGGCCTCCGGACCATGCCAGTAGTCCCCAAGCCATACCGCAGGTCAAAAATTCCCATTCTGTTCAAGTGCCATGGTTTTTTTCGCCTTCATGGAAGTCGCAAGGAGCTATGCTGGCGGCAGTGGAAAGCGAACATGATCTTACAGGACACCTCCCCCGATTTATACTGCTGGGTGATAAACCTTAAATGACGGAGAAGTGCATATTGCTGCGGATGGGAGAATTTGTGACGACTCATAACAGAAGGGTTAAAAATGGCATTTAGCTTCGGCAAATATCCCAGTCCCGTGTTCTTCAGGAAAACAGTTGGCAACTGAGGCAACATTAGTCGTGATCCGTCTGTAAAAGATCGCTGCGGAGCTATCTACTGTACCTGGATAAAGATGCTATTTAAGCAAACACTCAATACCTCCTCCACCTTCCTACTAGCTGGCTAGAAGCTAGACAGACGTATGGCTGGACATCACTGAAGAGAGAACTAGGTAAAAAGGATGTGTAGATGCAAACCTTATATCCACGAAGCTATTTTAACTTCATCTTTTTTAAATGACTCTGATTTTGGGTAAGTATTCCTATGACCATCGATGGACACACGTGATGACCTGCACATTCTTCTTTTCTTTAAACAAGGCGGAACTCAGAACCTGGTAGAAGTGCCAAGAGGGATCAGTGCTATGGCTGGAGCGGTTGGTTTGTGGGTATTTGTTCTTACAGCTTTAACAATGACTGATGCGGGAGGATAACTAAGGGGGGGCTATGTAATAATGTTGTTTGTTTAGTTCACGATTTTTGGTAAAGGGTCGCTTGGGTGCTCCGCTATTGTACCATCACCAAGTGGGCTGCCCTCCAGGCCATGCCAGTGGCCTCAACCCCTACTGTATGTCGAATACATGTATTACGCCTTCTTTCGTCTCCAGAGAAGTCTCAAGGTGATGCAACTTTTTCAAACTCTGTTAGTTATGAAGAGAAGGGACGATACTACTTTCCCACTTTGGAATCATCCGATCTGTGGATTTTAATATTTGCGGGTATTCAACCTATCAAACTTACTTTGTTTCTGCTAAATTATTCAATTTTCATTTTAAATCATATCCAAATGAGGAATGAGGACAGATCTTACCTAAAAATACCGAACAGATACCACAGTTAATTTCAGTCATATGTCTTCATTCATTAAAATTCTAGCTCTAACTTTCTTCTCTGTTTCAGCCAATATCTTATTTCAGTAAAGTGTTTAAAAAGTGCTATATTGGAGTTTAATTGATAGGGATAACAGCAAAAACATTTGCTAGTTTCAACTCTTAGTTGACGAAATAAATAAAAGAAATGAATTTTCTGCGGAACACTGTAAGAATGCATTAATTTTAATCCAATACTTATTGCTAAAAGGTGTCAATTGTTGTACAGTTTACATAAACACATCTATTAGTCCGATTGTGCTAAAATGCAGAAAAGACTTTAGAAGACAGTAAGTGGGCCTTGAAGATGTTTTGCAAATCGATTAGCATCTCTCGCAGGCTAATTTGCCGCAAGTAACATGTAGTAGTGTAATACAATAGTGGTTTATCCCTCGGTTCTGGTGAGGCGCCACTTTTGGACTTTGAATTAGCCCCCTTGTACCTCGCTGGGTGGGCTGGCCTTTTGGGCCATGCCGATAGCCCAGACACCTTCTCCGTGCTGAATATATATATTCTGCCCGAGTAGTGTGTCTTCTTTTGTCTTAAGGGAGTCTCGGGACGCTACAGTAGCTACTTTTTTGTAATAAATCGAAAATCTATCTTGTAAAAAAAGTAGCATTACAGGTCAAGTTGAATGATTTTCCAAAACGACTTCAGTGGAAATTGAGCAAGAAATGCTGCATTACACAACCACGGATTTGTGCACTAGACGCTCAGATTTTCACAATGAAGTACGCTTTTTCCAGTGTACTGAAGTGGCATGCACGTGAAGAGATAAATACTGTCACGAGTTCAATATTGGTTAACATATAATTAGGTGAAATAAATAAAATATTGGACCCTTGGTTTCAAGGTCTCTTCAGCATCAAAACTCAGCACTACTTTACCATAACAATTCAAGTACAAGCTTTTGTGATGAATAGTTTGACTAGATAAGTTAAATTCGCTTAAGAATAAACGTCACTCATGCCTAAATCCCTACGGTAACGCTAAGGCCAAACAATGAAAAATACGACCACGGTGCAAAAGAAAAAAATGTTACTATTATAAACCACTAGTTAAGAGAAGTAGTTTGACCTTATATAGTTTGTCAAAAATAATTGTTTGATGCACAGGATCCGATAGTCTAGCTAATTCTTGCTCAAGAATGATCATGAAAACGTCAAATTTGGTTTAAATTGTCTACTTCTTAATGGGAACACTACAGAATCCAACCGCTTGGGTTAAAGGTGGTGGTTCTGCAGGTGGGGGTGCTAAGCAAGTTATCAAAAAATGCGAGATTGGGCCCTAGGCTATTACTTCGTGCTGTTTGCGTTTAATATCTGTGGCTGCGGCTCTGTCACTTTGATACCCGGCTTCTCCTGACCCCCGTTCTTGTCTTTCACTTCCATGCGGTCCCGTAATGAAGTAGGATACTTGGCACATGGGCCTTAAGGGGGGGAGGGTGATAGATATCGCGTTTGCATTTATAAATTAACTTTCAGAATGTAGAATAGCTCAATATTTAGTTCTGCTTCAGTCTCGCCACCTTATGAAATACAACGAAATTTAACCTCAGGAACGTCAAAAAGATTTGGGTGTATGCAGCATTTGCTTAAAAATTGTGGTCTAGGCTGAGGAAATATTCTTTTAAAGTTTTAATGGCAAATGATATAACTCTGTGCGCTAACATAAACAGAGTATGTTTTTTGGAGGGTTTTGGTCAATTCCCATAACTTCTTAAAAGGTAACGTGGTTTTATGGACTAAGAGTCAATTCTATTAATTATAAATATGCCTAAGCTCTTAGAGACTTGGAGTTGGTACAAGGGGTGGAAACTGATTGTTATAATTGACTGGCACACCATGCGCTGTTTGCAAGTTGTCACGCTGACCATTCCTAAGCTCAAGCTTTAGTGCGGTGCCCGTGTTTGTTATTGTTAAATATGGTGGTGATGTTCAACATTCCTCAGGCGACTGCCGAGTCGGGAACATCATCAGCAATAAGTTACGAAAGCATCCTTGTTGAGTATTTAAAGAAGTCGTGGCTCCTAAATAACAGGAAGGCATTTGCACGCGTAGTAGAGTGCACTATTCGTGCTCTCTCTGAGGATAAGGCAGACACTTTGTCCAAAGTTGCAGGAATTTACCTGCCACAAGTTACCACTACGGTCAGGTACTATATAACCTATGGTCCTATAACTTTCCTAGTTTTTTCTCCCGAACTGTGTTTGCAGCAAAATATCTCACCTTTATGCTCAAACAACTGGATATTAATGACCCGTTCGAACTAAGAATTTTTAGGGAAATGGTATATCAGCGTTTCGTTTCTCCTGAGTAGTTATTAGTATAATTCGTGGGTTTTTTGCGTCTCCGAGTTGCTCTGTTCCAAACGACTTATTCACCATCAAGTGGGTCGCGAATTGTGTTGCAAACTATGGGATTATGTAAGTTGGGTGTAAGTTATGGCATCTTCAGGCACCTATTTCATTGAAAATGGTGTTCTCTATGTTGCATTCGTTAGAGCATATTGAAAGATGTCTACCCATTGCTTCTCTTGCTTGTGCTCTGCGAAAAGACGATGAAACCGTGAAATCATTGGATAAGGTAGGAATTTCATCTAAAGTTTTACAAATGTAGCTCAAAACTGTGAACACTTTACTCGAGTATGCTTTCTCCGGGAAGCAGGATTCTTCAACCCGTTTTTTGGTGAGTTCCATTCCCCGATTTAGTTCTGTCCTTCAGGAGCAAGCTGGAGGAATATTGAACTACTGCATTGATGAGAATTCCTTCAAGAAGCACTTCTTACCAGTTGTTGGTAGGAAACTTCTGCGGTCGCCGGAAACAGCCATTCCTGGTATGCTTCAAGTCTACATCTTCACCAAAGTTGTTTTTTTCCCCAGTTTTTGAAGTGATTTTAAAGGAACTTGAATTAACAATTGGTGAAATCGGTGCGGAAATAATTGATCCACTAATTAGTAATCTCATTGCCACCGACCCAAGCATCCGTGAAGCTAGTGTCTCTTCACTCGTTTCAATCGCAAAACTTTGCAGTGTCCAAAGCGTCACCATCGTCATTTACAATCGAGTAAGTTCTGTAACATATTTCCGGCTTGTCAGTTCTGTTCCATTACCCATTGTCTCCGAGAGGTCGATCAGGATTTCTTTTGAAATTTGAGTAGTACCAAGGGTATCGCTTCGCATCCATTCACATCCAGATCTAATTAACAAGGCGCAGGCTAGAAAGAGGTGCATGTTGGGCGTCAGGAAAGGATTAAACAAGCATTCGTAATAGGTACTATCGAAACTTAACGGTCCTGATGGTCGGCGTGCATCTTTGGAGGTGAAACTGACGCTCCTTCACGCTCTCGGCAGTCTGTCACAACCGAAATCGGGAAATGCGAAGGCCTTTCCCGAAGTGCAGAGGAGTTTCATTGATATGATCACTTCTGAGGGTGAGTAGTCTTGCTCAAGCCTAAGCTCTTCAGTGAACCCCTTGGTGACTGAAGTTTGTCTTCTCTTAGACAATGAGGACATGATCGAATCATCCCTGAAACAGTTGGGCTTGTGGTTGAAACTGCCGAAGTTCTCGCTTAACGAGAAGGCTCAAACGACCATTAAGGTAAGCATTTGCACACTATTTTCAATGGTTTTAAAAGTTACTGAAAATAAAAGGTGTTTGCTCAAGGACTAATTTGGTGTTATCTCTTCACCTGAGTCTCTAAAGTGAAGTGCTGGCCATCTTTTGAGCTTTCACTGCATTTTTCTTTTATCAGGAAAAGTTGTTCGCGAATAAGACCTCGCATCGAGTGAAAATGGCAATCTTCCGGTTCCTTGATGAAACTCGCCGATCAAGTAGACACATCCATAATACTTCTTCCGACATTACCAGTACCGTATGGTCTGATTCGACGTTTCTTTCTTAGGTGGGAAGCTCCCTAAAGCTTACATTCCCCTCCTCGCCACGGCAGCTCAAGCGGCTAAACAGGAGGTTCCTGCGTCGCCCCTTGTGAGTCAGGCGGTCGCAGCAGCAAGTTTGTGGCTTATGAACACTAGCCAACCGGGCAAGATTCCAGAAAATATGTGGTCTGTTCTGAGTGGCCTTAAGGTAACTCCCGAAGATCAGGACTCTATACCCTTGTGGCTCAAGGATCGCTTTCTTCTCACCACCTCTCCGGATGGTGAGTGACCTGATTCGTTTGACATTAATCACTTACCGTCTCGATTTCTTTTGTAGTTCATTCCTATCTCATTTCGTGTATTCATATTCTCTTAACGCACCACGCCAATGAGTTTTCCCACACCCAAAGGGGGTACGTTTATGAGAATTTTGTCATGACTGTTGCAACGCTCCTTCAACGCATATGTGCCTAATTACAGTGCCTTCTATCGCATCCTCATTTTGCTCTGGCTCTACACCGACTCACGTCAAGTCCTGGAGGACATCCACTTTTGCCTCCTCATCCACTTAGTCAAAGAGGGCAAGCGTAACCGCGTCGTCGGTCAATCGATAATTCAGAACCACCTCAATCTCTTGGTGTTAGAGTCCCTGAACAGGGCAAGCGATCTCTTGGCCGCGGGAGTAGAAAATGCACCGCGGTTTGGCCGACGTTTGGTACAGCTTGTGACCATGGTTGGCAAGGCGGCTTCGGCTACTACTTTAAAACTTGTAGAGTCCATCTTTACTAACTCGAGACTTACACCAGCTCTCGGGGATTCATTAATTCAAGAGGCGTTATCGGAAGGACAGAAATTGGGCTTATTTTGCGCCACTCTCTACCCTCTCAGTCATCCACTTGCAGGTGAGATGGCGGAACTCTTTAAGGACGGAATATACGTTGGTGGTTTTCACTGCGACTATTTTTATTCCAGTCGACTATAATCGGAACGCATGGATAGATCTTCTTTCGATTATCAGATTGCCTCGCAAAGCGGAGGCAATGGCGGCCTTCAATGAAGCAGAAGGTATTGAGGCCTTCAACAACGTCGTAGATCGACTTTTTGAACTGCCAAAACTGGATGTGGTAAGTGCAGCTTTCATATTTTTAAACCACAAGGCAATACTTAAAGCCCAACGATAAGCCTATAGTGTGTCTGTTAACAAAAGGTTCGGACCTGTTGGCATTTGAGTTTTTTTTGACTCACCGGCTTTACGTTTCCAAGATAATCTATTCAACTCTACTTCTAGAATGTAAGCTTCGACAATGAACCATCTTTAAGTTGTATATTATGTGCTGAGAAAATGATGACCCTGAATTTGTTAATTTCGCGAGAAATCTTCATCGAGCCTTGATTGTTTATGCTAAAGATTTTATGTTTTGATTTTCCTAGGCGCATCGCTTGATGTTACAGCGCCTCATAGAATGGTCTCCAGTGAAATTCGCATCCCACTTGGCTACCCGACTCTGCTCTGAACTGTCAAATTCCAAGTACACAAATGTCACTGCAGACGAGGTTGGAATAATGCTAGCCCAACCTGGCACCCTTTACAATCGAGCGCTCTTAGATAGTCTCCCTCGCTATCAGATAAACAGGTCAAGCATTAAGAGAGAAGGAAAACTATACTCTCATGAGACCCAAATGGACATTTTAGAGGCTCAGGCCAAGCAAAAGGAACGACGGCTAGCAGCAGGTGGCAAGGAGCCCGACTTTTTGGCCTCCGTTGCCCCACAATTAACCCCGAAACAACTCGGAATTATCAAGGCTGAGATGGAAAAAGAAGAGGATATACGCAAACGCATCTCCAAAGTACATTTTCATATTTCTCTCGGTTATTCGGTTTCAAGAAGTCACCTACGTTAACTTCGATTCTTCGTTTCTCTTAGCTCTTCACAGAGGGGAGTCACTTAATGGATCTTCTCACCATCCTAAACGACACCCTTCTCAACGAGAATGAGGACAGCCAGTCAGCTTCATTCGAATTTCTGTTACGCAATTCATTCAACCTTTGGAGCCTCACTGTCCATCTTTTGCAACTACCTCTCCTTTCCCCCCTTGCTATCGCTGCCCACAGTCGTCTCGGACGTCTGATGGCCGAAGTGGCGATGGTTCCTGCCGTTACCGATGCAAGGATACGTCGACAGAAGGCTCAGCACTTTGCTGCCTGGTCCATCAGGGTTTTAAAACCGCCCCGAATCTGTTTGAGGAACCAGCCACCGGTGCCCTCCTTCCAGGTTGCGTCTTTCGTCGAAGAGGAGTCGATTTGCGCGGAAAACGGGAAGTGGCATGCAATCTGTCGACTTTTTACTCTGCGAGAACAGTCTGAGGTAGTTACTGAGTGTCTTCGAAAAGATGTGAGCTTGGGAGCGATATCTGCGCTTTTGAGTGTGGCTGTCGGTATGGAGATATTTTCCATCTTTTCAGGTCATAAAACGAACAGCCTCAGGGGCTATCATTATCTCCGCTGCCATCCCCATTTTTGATCAGATTCTCGTCAAACATTCTACTTTTGCACACTTTGAAGAGCTTAAAAGCACTGGGAATGAGGAGAAAGAGGAGAAAAGATGGGCTCTGTGTGCTCATTATGGTGGGTTTTTGGCTACTGTTTGGAACCAGGTTCGTCCAACTGCTGGTTTTTATGATAATATTGGCTCCTATTCCAAGCTGTGTGAGGCACTGCAATTTGGTGTTATCTACAAGGTGAGTTGATGGCGGTGTGTAAATAGGTAATGTCAATGTTTGCAGTATCTGACGAAATTCTTCCTTCAGTTCTTACTGCACCTAATTGAACAACACTCTTTGGCTCTGGAGTTGGGTCTAATTGTTGAAGGCAACAGCAGAGACGATGATGGCCTGTCAGCCTTTTCTAACGATGTGTTCCAAAATACAGTAAAGCTTCACATTCACTACCTCCTTTACTTGCTGCAATACCAGCCAGAAAAGAGGGAAACTATTCTGATCTCTATGACTCCCATAGTTTATGACCTAATGGAACGTCTTGTAGCACCGACACATTTCACTCGGTCCTCTGCCTTGACGGTGAGTTTTGTACTGACTGGCCCAGACTACTTGAGACAGGCTTTGATCTCCATACCCTTTTAGGGCATGATTAATCTAGCGAAACACTTCCCGGATCTGTTCACTCACTCCCTCTCTCCTCCTATCCTCACAACTATCGTCGCTGTCCCTATCGCACATGGCAACAACGCTGAAGATCAACAGGAAAAGCAGCAGTCGGAGGATATTGCTTCTGTCGTCGCCATCACAGGTGCAAAATCATCCGATGGAAATCTGAACAGAGTGCAAAAGAAGAAGAGGAAGCGAGCTGCCACGGCGGTCGTTTCTAACAAGGCCATGGGTGAGGGAGATTTGCGTATGGACGAGAGTGTCGCAGACCCTACTAGCTGGCCCACTCTCTGTCTCATTGCTAACAGCCAACTGAGACTCTTTATCTCTCGGTGCGATCCCTTTGTGGAGGTGGCTATCGATGCTGACAGGTATCTTGTGAAAGCTGTTTTTTGGTGTTCTTTGGCATCAAATTTATCGTTCTTCATGAGTAAATCAATAGCATATACTTAAGAATTGCTCAATGGGAAGTTTAGCACAGGCGCATTTCTGCTATTTTTTGGAGTTTTCTGAGTGAATTGACACTCGAGGATTCATAGTCTTCGCAAGACACTTCACCGTATGTCGTTCCATGCAGGCAGTATCACTATTGCCAACTACCTTGACCAATGATGTCTGTACTGGTACACGGAGCTTGCCAGCTTGTCACCTGCTAGTTTGTGTAATGCCTTCATCATGGCATCCTTTTTATAGTTATGAGATGAAAATTTCCGGTAGGATTTGAGTATCTCACCTGTTTTAGTTCAAATTAAGTAACTTAATTCCCTTCTTATATTTACCGCTTTAAAGACTGTGGACTGCTGTGGGTTTGCGTGACGGTTGTGAATCGGAGAAGATGGTGGTGAACGCAGAACCAGTTGATGATGATCAGCAGGACCAGCAACAAGAACAACAGCAAGAGGGGAAGATTGGAGACGAGGAAGAGGAGAAAAGACCAAAACAGCATCATCTTTTTGTCTTGCTTCAACGTCCACGAAACCCTGACGTTCTTTCTCCCCCTGTACTGGCAACTCGACTTCTTTTGGAGTGCCTTCGAAAATCTGCTGACATCCAAAAGGCGTCTGCCTGTGCCCTTCAACGGTGTCTCAATGGGAAGTCTCAGGACGAGATTAATCGTGTTATTGACTACTGGCTGGAGGTCTACCGTTGCCTAATGGAAGTGCGTGCCTACTCATACTTAACACTTCCTCTATTCATCATAAAGGAACCCTCAATTTATCCTTCCCCCTCTGATTTCTAGAAATCTCAACCGAAGGTGGATGCTCACGGGAAGCCGATTGAACCATTGCCACCAAAGTACACCAAACAGCGAGTTGGTCTTGCCCATGCTCTTGAAGCTATAGTGACTTGTTCCCGGACACCGGGCTACTATCTGGCGTCTCAACAAGAAGCTCCCATTGTCATAGATGTGAACATTAAGCAGCAGAAGGCTGGCATATGGCTCCAGAAAATTTTTCGATTTCTTGTGGATGAGGGTCTACACGACTCGCAGGAGGAAGTGCGCTGCGCCCTCTTGCAGGCTGGTCTTGGAGCCACTCGAAATTATGGAGTTGTAGGTTACACTCCTCTCTCACTCGTTTATCCTAAGCGGTATAATGCCTTCTCCTTCTTTGTCTTCATAGACGAATCTGCAGCAGCTACTTCCAGTTCTAGAGGCTTTTTTAAACAAAGCGCCGAACATAGAGGAGCTGGATATGGTCCGACAGTCAGTTGTTGTTCTTCTCGGCTCCCTAGCGAAATACCTTGGGCAGGAGGATACTCGAGTTGGAGTTATTTTCAATCGTCTTCTTTCAGCTGTCAGCTTTCCCGCTGATGTGGTAAGTGTTGTCATTAGCTATAAAATATCCTATTTCCTTAAGTAATAAATGGATTGAGAGCCGACATTATCTCCAACAATTCACTGTCAATTTTGAATTAATGTGAATGCGCAATTATTAATACAAAATTATCATAACTGGGGTATTTTTGTGATTTACACGAGTTAGGGTGGAAGCAGCCTGAAACACCAAAGATTGACACATTTGGCGGTGGGTGTGGTTAGTAAAAAAAAGTTTGGGATGTTCTGCTCAGGCCATTTCTAATTTTAGTCGCAATATAACCATACGAGGGGCTTGAACTGATACCAAGGTGTTAGGTAACACCAAAATGAAACCTGCTTTGGTAAAGACTAGATCCGAAAGTGCATGTAGACTCACAGGAGGGTTAGAAAACGCGCTTCAGTTTCAACTTAGAAGAGATTGGAAAGGCAAGAGGACCAATTATCAAAATAGCTTTTGCGAGTTCTAGAGGTGAAGTGATCTTAAAGCTTGCCTTTGATGTATTGGCGCAAAGTTGAGCCGGTTTTTTGGACAACAATTGGTTCTTCGTATTTGTATATGTGATCCTCCCGAATTCTTTACCTAAACCTGGGTTCGCAAACATTTGAAAGTTTACGGCGACTGTCAACACCCAATTTTTTGACAAACAGATTGAGTTTTAAACAGTGGAGTAGAATTTAGGTGTTTTTGATCTGAGAATAATTTAATGTTTCAGTTTTTGGGCATTCGGTGTCATCTTAGAATAATAAAACATCTGGGTTGTGATAGTCAATTTTCTTCCAAGAATCCGTTAGTGATGCATGGCCTCTTTTTTAAAGAAGTATTATTAAAACTACCTCCGGTGTGCGTGTGTGTGTACAGGTGCAAAAGGCCGTCGAGGATGCGATGACCCCACTGGCTCCGAAGCTACCCATTGAGCAGTTAGAGAAAGTTTTCCCTCGTCTCATGACTACGCTTTTCTCCTCTTTGGGTTACGCGGAGAGGCGTGGAGCTGCGTACGCCTTGGCTGGCATCGTCCGCGGATGTGGTATTGCCACATTGAGGCAGAGGGGCATCATTGATAGGCTTTTAGCTGCTCTGGAAGACAAGAATCCAAAGTTCAAGGAGAGTAAGTCCACTTTGTGTAACTAAGGCCCTAAGCCACCGTAACTAGGGGGTCGTTTAAGATCTGTGGCGGGAATGGTTTATCTAACCTACGTTTGTAGCACGGTGATATAGTGCCCTTTCCTGAATTCTTAGGATTTTGGTTGCGTTCTATCAGTGAACGTCCAAACTGTGCGAATATATTTACTTCGCCACTGTTGTTTTAGGTCGCAGTGTATCAAGTTTCTTTCCGTTGGCTATATTATAGGTGGTTATAATCCATAATATTATTTTGCGAAAGTGGAAATAGTTTCATTTTAGGTTCTAGCAGCATTTTTTAGATTTATTAGTGTTTTTATAATGCCGCGTTTTTAAATGATAATATTCACCTCTTTCTCTACTAATCCCTTCCGCCCAGTATCAACCACTTTATTGATTGATATCTTGAAGTACTTTTTGGAAAGAATGTGCTAGGATTTGGTAAATAATTATTAAGTCGTTTTTTATCACCCCTGATCGAAATATTCTCTGCAGAAAGTGAGAGTTAACCCATAAAACACCCGTTTTTTTCTTCCAAAGGATAATAATATAGTTGATGGGTCAGTCATGGCTGTAGCCTAGTCCCCTCCCTCGTAAGATATCGCGAATATTCACTGCTTTAATAAGCATATTTGACTTCTCGAGGTTATTATCCTACAACTTTCTTCAAGGTGCTCTTTTCGCGTTTGAACGCCTGTCGCTCGTGCTGGGGCGACTGTTTGAACCCTATGTGGTGAAGCTCGTTCCCCAACTGCTCAGTTGTTTCGGAGATCCAAACTTGGGTGTTCGTGAGGTAATTACCGACCCACACAACACTTAAGCCGCGACTTTTTCTGTTTGGACTAACTCCATCCTGTATGCGCCTTTAGGCCGCTTCAGTTACCAGTCGGGCTGTCATGAGCAAAATCAGTGCTCACGGCATCAAACTCATTCTACCACTTCTCCTCAAAGTCATTGACGAGGACAATTCTTGGCGAACAAAGTGCCGTACGTCTGCTTGCACCCCTTCATGTGTCTGCCTCCACGGGGAGCTCACTTATCCTTCTGTACCTGTAGAGGCGGTCGAGGTATTGGGCACAATGACTAGCTGCGCACCCAAGCAACTCTCCTCCTGTCTGCCGCAGATTATGCCCCGCATCCTCACCGTGCTGATCGACGCGCAGGTGAACCTCAAGAAGGCCGGGGCCTGTGCCCTTGAACGCATAGGAACAGTTATTCGCAATCCCGAGGTTCAAGGTGCGCAATGCCCTCTCTCCTTCTTCTTGATAATTTAATTACATCTTTTTGTGGGTCCTTTCTACAAAAAACAAAGTAGGCGCAAAAGCTAGACAGGTTCCCTACTGGCTTTGATTTTAAAACGTTTTGCACGTGTTTCAGAGCTGTTTTTCTGTTTTTTCCCCAAGGTTCTACACTGATTTTTATCCGGTGAAGTCTGACTGAATTCCAACAATGATCATAAAACGGGAATCGTCAAATTCACAACAATATTGAAGTAAATGGATTGACTTTGGAATGGCAGTTTTCTATTAGAAAAGACAACTGTAACAGTAAACCCCTTTGGAGCAGAGGCATTAATACTTAACAATCCATTTGTCTTGCTATGAATTAAGGATTTTTTTATATAGCTTGAGTTATTGAGACACTTGGAGCACTGAAAATGCTCTTTTTCACAATATGACCAGTCAACATCTGAGAATAAAATTCACCGACCTCTCAAATGACTGTATTTAATCGTAGTCGCACTGATATGTCAAATAGATAGGCTGTTCTATAAATCTATAGGCCCAAACCTTTCTGACACGTTTAGTGCGGTCAGCTTTCATCAAAAGGGATTCCGAATACTAGTTTTTTTAGTCATGTCTGGGAATAGTCTCGTATCCAACCTTGGCGCTACTTAAAAGTGGTGCAATAAAAAATGGCTCGTTGGTGCTACCACATAAGCGCAGTAATCAACCCAAAATTTTTCATGATATCTGTTTTCGCTACGTCGTTTTGTGTGTAATCAAGAAATTACGAAGGTCTTCCGTTACAAGCTGTTTTCATTAGATGTTGGATACCTGATTATTATCTTGTAAATAGGTCACATGAAACACCTGAGTCCTCTGTAAGTCTGAATAGCTTTAATAAAAGCTTATGAAGTGGTGTGAAAGGAGCCTGTGATTCCTCCAAATTATTCATTTTCATGCTTGGAGTGGCTGAATAAAAGCTTACGACAGTTCACGATGAAAACAGTAAGTCATCCGTTATTGATACAAATTAGCGTATCAATCAAATATTGATGACAGCCATAGTTTTTGCATTTACCTAGTAATGAATAACATGATAGTGGCTCATTGGTTGTATTCTCTCACCTGAAATAGCCCTCGTGCCCTGCCTGATCAAAAGCCTGCAGGATCCACTGACCGACAAGGGGACGTGTCTCCTGACTCTGCGCGATACCTGTTTCACCCACGTGGTGGATGCTGCCAGCCTGGCGCTGATCATGCCTGTGCTACACCGCGCCTTTGATGATCGCTCCACATCGATTCGCAAGGCGGCGGCGCAGATCTTTGGCACTCTCTACAGGCTCGCGCGTCGAGAAGACCTCGAGCCCTACATTGTACAGATCCTGCCTGGTCTGCGCCATTGCCTCCTCGACCCCGTGCCCGAGGTGCGCTCCGTCACTGCGCGCGCCCTCGGTGCCATGGTCCGAGGCATTGGTGAGGCCTGCTCCAAGGTACTTTCACTTCCATCCATCCTCTTTTCGCCCATTAGTTTTATCTGGACTTATGTTCGCTCTCACCAAATAAATTTGCCAAGCTCTTGCTCCGTATGGCTCTATTCTGGAGCTATCTCAAGACTTCAACTGGAGGCCCATTTCCAAAGGTTTGTATGAGCCGATTTTGGCAAATACATCACGTTTTAATGCGATTTTTTAAAAACATAAAATAAGAACTTGTTTCGCTTTATAGGGAGTCTCACAAAGTTTACCGATTTGTTATGAAACCAACTCGAAGACTTACCTATAGGCTTAACGGTGAAGGTAGTGTTATCCTTCATTCAAAGCGGAAGCGTTTTGTGTTATTTTCGTCTATTTTCTGGTGCTTTGGCTATTTTATCCTGTTCTGTGACCCTTCATGCGTAAGATATAATGACTTTTAACATAGAATTGGGATCAACGCAAATTTCTAGTTCGTTCTGCGAAAACCTTAAAGTCAAGCTGTAAACCATTTAGTAAGGGCATTCTTTAAAAACATTTGAGATAGAGGTGTCTTATTTTCATTTTTTTAGTTGTATTTTGCTTAGTCTTACGGAGGATTGGTGTTGTATATATTTACATTTAAGCATTCACTTTTAAAGCGTATTGAAAGTTAGCAATAAGTGCGTCGAGTTGTTTCCATTGAAAACCTGTCATTGTTATATTTCTTTTTTGCGTGGAGGCTCCAATATGAATGTGCAAGATTTCACTAAATTACTTTTTCCTTCTGAGCTCGTCTTAAAATTCAGATTGCGGCTTCTTCTACGGAAGCGTCTTTGAGTGCATTTCGTGAATAATATTTGCCTTTGGTGTTTCTGAATTAGTGTATTTAAGTCTCTTGGATACATTTTCACACATAGCGGTCTTTCAATTCATTTGGGATAAGGTGGCATACACTTTAGCGATTCGTACAGACTCTTTTGCGCTTGCCATTTTGCAAGATAAACGCTTGCTTCGACTTATCACAAGCTGTAGGCAAAGATGTTGGTTAGTTCTAAAATCGCCCAAACGTCTTGCTCAGAGCACCAGTGAAGAGTACTATGTGTTTTGATAAATTCGCCTCGTTTTACGGCCGTGTTTCTGTAAAAGAAAACGAGATTCGTTGACCTTATTTAACTTCCACCTTTCCAAACATGTGTGCTTCTAATCTGTTTTCAAACTTGGTGTAAACTTTAGATTAATCGAGAAGGGCGATTTTTCGGACCTTGCGAAAGGACCCAGTTACCCTAATCTGGTTCTCCGTATGCTTGTGCTTTTAAAGTCCTTAAGTCCGAGTCTGTGGCTAATCTTTTGCATATTGTGCTTGAATTTGCATTTCAATGCGATATGATTGTGCATCCATATAAATACTAATAGCCTAAATAATGCCTTACCATGAATAACTCGGGTTTTGAGCCTTGAACATATTTTACTAGCTAGAGATTAAAGGGTGAAAAACGATGTAAACATCACGCACATTATTTGGACAACCAGTCTCTATTCAGAGATATTCATTGTATTAATTTTCTAACTTTTCACACTCAACTTTTTAACAGGTTAAAGATTTAATTAGGATTTCAGTGTTTGAAAGGTGTGAACTCGGCATGAATTGTCTATTTTACTACCTACTTAAGTTGAATTAACCTGTTCCCAGTCTTAGCTAATTTGATTTTGAAAATTTGATGATAGTACAGCTTTTCAGATTCAGGTGGATCTATAACTTCGAATTTTCCTTTATGGATCATGTTGCAAGGGTACAGCTCAGGGCTCTAAAGAAGTACATTATCAAAGTGGCTACCTAGGTTCGTAGCTATTCGAAATAAATGGACAAACAAGTGCCCCTGCAATAAAGTTTCACGGAAATTGCGAAAACATGTAAATTTTTCCACACTCCTTTCCCCTGGTGATGGTGCTAGTTAAAAGTGGAAAATTTAAGCTATTGTTCTTCACAAAACATTCAGGGTTATAATATATGCATTTGTGCAATCAACTTTAAAAACAACTGCTAAAAAACTTGATAAGTCTTCCCCTCCTGATGGTGATATTTGGAATGGTTGAAGAGGGAATAGTTGATCTTTGCCAGGATATTTTGCACCGAGTTCCGCACTCATTTGGATTGATCTCACCCAGGATCTTCTGCCATGGCTAATGACGACGCTGACATCGGAGCAGTCCTCGGTGGACCGGTCGGGCGCTGCTCAGGGCCTGGCAGAGGTACTCGGTGGAATGGGTCTGCCGCGACTGGAGTCCATCCTGCCCGAGTTCATTCGCACTGCGGAGTCCACCAACGTGCAGCCTTACGTGCGCGACGGATACCTCATGCTCTTCATCTACCTGCCCGAGGTCTTTCGCAACGAATTCTCGCCCTTCATCGCGCCCATTCTCTCACCCATTCTCAAGGTCAGGCTTCTCCTTTCTGTCGCTCTTTACAGTAGATTACCTCACGTGCCAGCCCCTCAGTTCAATTCAAGGAGGTGTAGTTTAATATTCAGTCGAAGTCACGTCGGAAATTCCTTTAAATGGAAAGAACAAATGAGTTGAAAGGTCATTTAGAAATTGCATTTTTTAAATCTCCCTCCCGTCGTTCCCGTCTCCCTCTCGAATAAGTTCTACACATTGGTAAATCATCTTTCGGTAGAACGGTTTTGAAACGTAGTTAGAGTGCGTTGCTTATAGCCACCTCGTTTTCATTCCAAATTGCAGTAGGTTCTTCATTTTATCAAACACACCTGTTTCCAAACTGTGATTTCATCGCTGTTTTATTTATGTTCGATTTCACTTCTATTTCTTTGGAAAAAAAATTGCTCAAATAATAATACTTCGATATTGCCTCAATTTTTTATGCGGCCCTCTCTTGTAAATGTGCAAATTCTGAGGCCATTATTTATTCCGATTACCCTTATTTACATAGTGGGATCGAGAGTCGATCATTTCTGACATCTCTATTTTATTATTTGTAATGATTTCGTGTCCGGAAGTGTATTAGCATATTTTTAAGTATTTTTGACTGGAAAGTGTCTGTCAAGGTCGAGAACTCGACTGAACACATTCGTACATTCAGCACAGAAACCTTAACGTGGCAATTCGCGTAAACTGCACAATAAGATTTATACCTCAATCAGCACTTATGCTGTTTGGTCATCCTGACTCGAGTGTCATTCTTGACATTTTATTTGTCGCACCTCTAGATCCAAATTATTAGAGAAATACAAACGAGGAATGTGAAATCAACTGAGTGAAAAGACCAAAGTTTGATGGCTCATTTTCACATAGACTTCCATAACGTTTTTTCAGGGGAGATAGAGTGAAATGAATTGTTTAGAATAGAGGTGAAGGCCGTACAATACCTTACTGCTAACGCATTTCTTTGAAAACCTTTGCTTCAAAATATGAGCAGCTTAGAAGTTTGCTGTCCAGAACCCCATCTCCAGTAGTAAATCTATTGATTATTCTCCAGTGCTTAGATTTCCTACTTCAAATTTCCAAAAACAGTAATGAGTTTTCACAATGTGGTAGTTAATTTGCGTAAAAAGCAGTTTAACGCTCTATTTAAGTCATGCTATCAGACCATATCCTTTATAAATTAGGTCCATTCTTAACTAATCCTTATTTCGTACCTTTAATGTGTATGATATATTCTTCGTTTACTAAAAATGTATAGAGTGAAAAAGATCCTTCTCACTTATTGTCCAGGGTCTTGCTGATGAATGCGAGTACCTTCGTGAGACAGCCTTGAGAGCGGGTCAGCGTATCATCGACCTTTTTGCAAATGAGGCCGTGGAACTGCTGTTGCCCGAATTGGAGAAGGGCTTGCTCAGCGTTGAGTGGCGCATTCGGCTCTCGTCGCTCCACCTCACCGGTGACCTCCTTTACAAACTCTCCGGGGTCTCTGGAAAGGGAACCACAAGGGTATTTCATCTGCCGTTATTTCTTGCAACTTGTCGGTTCCTCCAGTAAATGACTCCCATTTGAGAAAACGTCATTATAGGTTAATTGTACCTGTGAGAGAAATTTAATTATAACTCTTGCTACAGCATTAGTTAAAATTACCTAAGGGAACTGCGCCCCTACACTGATTAACCTATGTATCATGCGGAACTATGTATCATTGTTTATAAGTACGCTTTAGGGTGGATTTTACTGCCATTTGTACTCGGAATAAGTACGATCGCATTTAAAAAATTATCTAATTATTTCAGTTCTTAACAACAGTAATGTTATTTGAACCAGCCGCGACTGCGTCTAATTCCATTAAGATAAAAAGTTTACGGCTCTGTATTTGTTACTATTCCCCCATTTAAAGTATTTCATGAGTGAAAATGGATGCACGGGGATTATTACGAAGCTACTAGTGAACGCGTGTTCTTTAAATACTGCAATATAAATACCCGAAAATGGCAATAATGCTGTATTCCTTTAGTCTTTTTGGTTGTCTCTGATTTGGTGTGAGTTCATTTACATGCCAAATACCACTCGATCTGGGCTGTTACTGTGCGTACATGATGTGAAGGCTGCGCCATGCTTTGATGTGATCAGAATTGCTTTTTAAGAATGGGGAATTGACGTTTGTTTTCGGATTTATAATATTTCTGAACGCTTTCAGCCTTTTAATCGGACGGAATTTCACGATAAGCTGGTCCCTCAAACGGTCAGGTTGACAAAATTTATTTTAGAGTAGTGCAAAGAGTGACCAAAATTATAGGTTTTTATTGAAGATCACTAATGGCCTTGATAAGCAAGTGCGAAACCTCTTTTTTACTTCGTTTCGTAACTTGGGTTGACGAAAAGCAGGTGTATACACCGCAATATAAACTGTCCAACTCATCTCATGGCCCCAACGTGACGACCATGTAAAAGGCGGCCAAACTCACCCGAGGTCTGGCGCCACAAGCTACCAAGTCTGTTAATCGAGTGCAAAACATGAGAGTAGATTCAGTTTTTAAAGATAGTGGTTATCCTAATTTTTAAATCAAGTCCTCATGAAGTATATACCGCTCCTATTTTGCGATTTCTCGGCTCATCCATGACAAATCACTAATATGATGGGTGTTTAAAAGCTAAAAGCTTCTTATTAAAATTAGAAAGCTATTATTTAGCATCTCCTTCCAAAACAGATGATGCATTCTTGGACGAAAATTTAAGGAATAGAAAAAAGTGCTAATTTATAACATTGTTGGATCAGATCCATCGGATTTAGAGTTTTCGGATACATTAAGGCTGGAAGTATCGGTCGTGTAACTCGTTTTCGGAGCCTAAATTTGCTTCATTGGAAAGCGCTGTTATTTTTTACGTGAAAAACTCATTTAAAATGACAATAATCTGGTATGTGGCATAGACTTACGAAACTTTTGCGATTACGAGGACAAGTAAAGCGTCTGTTTGTGTTTAAAATAACTGTGAATGTGAAAATAAGATATTTATCGACTATGCGATTTGGAGCCCGAATTTTGCGTTGCGATTTATAAGAATTCACTTTAATTGGGGATATGATGCCAGGAGATTTGTGCGCTTTCTTTCCAGGTGGACGTAGAAGCCAATCAAAGTGAATTCTCAAACTTTCAGGGCCACTTAAACTGCTTTTATAGAAAACTAACTTTGTTGGTTATCATTTGGATAACCAACTTAAGGAATATTTGGCAGGCTGGTTATGAAATATTCAAAAAGTCGATCCTTTGGATGATAAACCAACCATTCTCTATCTTATTTACAGTCGACTTACCTCACCCTGGTTTTTTGAAATGACCCTTAATGTTCTGTCTCATCCTAGACCGCCGACGAGGACGACACATTCGGGACGAATGCAGCAAGCGAAAAAATTCTTGAGACGCTGGGGGAGGAGCGACGCAACCGCGTGTTGGCGCGTCTCCACATTGCACGCTCTGACCCCACCTATACAGTGCGCAACGCGGCCAGCCACATCTGGAAGATTGTGGTGGTCAACACACCGCGCACTCTTCGCGAACTTATGCCCGTTCTCGTACAATTACTTCTTACCTCCCTGGGATCTACTTTGCGGGAACACCAGCAGGTCCTGTCGATATTTCATTTATTTATGGTGACATCATTACGTCTGTCTTTTCATCTGTTACTTTATGGCACTCAAACTGTTTATGATACCTAATAATAGCTTTGTTGAGGGAGATTAGAATCATGAATGCCTAATCGGAAACGAGACTTCGTAGACTTAAAATGGACGCATTATCAATAGTACTTAAGGCTATCATTTTCCTGTGGATTTGGAGTTAAAATAATTGCTTAATATACTGTCTATGACCGTCAAAAACCGGCTCTTCCGACCTTTTTTATTTTTTAATTGCTTTTAACGGAACTTCATAGCAGCCAAAGCCTGAAGTGGTGGAGTAGACAAATATTATGACGCCCACAAGTTTAGAGGGGGAATCGGAGATGTGGAATCTACTTGTGACCTCGCGAAAGGCCACTACAAAGTAGCGCATGGATTTGGTTGCATCTCACACCGCCTGATATTAAAGAATAATCCTCTAGTAGAAGTAAAGAATAACTCGAAACCTGAACTGCAGGTGATGTAATTGAAGTTCCATAGAAGTCGAGATGTAGTAGACTGAATAGCCACTATCACGAAGCATCTAGCATTTCGCCGCTGCTTCGGGGACAAAATTGGGGTGATTTCAAAATTGGTAAGCCAATTTCAGGTACCAATGGGTTGAATGTTGGAAGCTGATCAGTGTAGTTGACATCCAAACGATTGATTAAGTCTTGGGGTGGACTTGCTTAAGAAGAACAATCTTGAATGTATAAAAATTCCAAGGTGCCCAAAGGGTATTATAGGTGAGTGATGCGTCTGGAGGTCGTTCAGGTTTCCAGCATCAAACAGCTTACGATTCTTATCATGAAATTTAAATGAAACCTTAGGAATTAGTAGAGGAATGTTTGACTCACGGTATTAATACTTTCCATTCAAAAGGCAGAAATTTTTATCTAGGCGGCTTTAATCATCCGTTTAAAAATATTCCAGTATTGGCAGTATTGGCGATCCGGTAGTTTGGATTTGATTAAGTATGGTCTTGTCAACTAAAAACAAAGGCGAATTTATTACAAATAAAATATTAAGATTTCTACTATTTTTATACCAGATTATTTATAGTGTGTCGATTTTCATGTACTGAATATTTTGGATAGTTATTTGACTGTGAACAAAAACCATTCTCTTCCCTCAAGTCCTTACTCTTAGACAAGTTTCAACACCACTAAAGCATGGGCTTTCGTAAAGTGTTTTCGCAAATGTAGGTGAAGGGAACTATAAATTATACTGATAATTCTTTAACGATGGAAAGTTCATTTTGATTACCAATTCTCAGTTGCCCCGAGGAATTATTTGAAATTATACTTTAAGTCCGCTAATATTCTTGTAGTACAACCATTGGATTTTGTTATTTTAACTTCTTTACTATCGACTTTGTGTTTAAAACTCCATAGATTTTGATGGATTTTATTACCGATGCATAGTGATGCTGGCTTTGTATTACCATTAACCTTAGCTTTTTGTCAAAGTAGTAAAACAGTGCCACTCCTATTTTTTTCAGTGCGACAATTAGATCTCTCGTCTTTTTTATACATGGTTTTCGCTGGACGGGTTCTAATTTAGCATAATCGTTTCTTGGTCGGTTAAAGTGTATCATGAATCAATTTTTAGATCTTGTTTCACGACTTGTTTGCGATGCGATTAACAGTGACATTAGCTTTTAGTTGAACGTATTTACCGATTGGTATAAGCTGGGGGAGGAGGTTAGGGGGGGGGGGGGAACGGCACTTGTGTACGTAACTGGGTACTGACTACCAAGGACACAAAATGGCACTATTCTCGCGTATTTGTTTGCATATTTAGAGCCAATCTGAGTGTTTAAGCAAGCGTGAAATGTTTGGGAGCAGTTTCTGGGATCACAGATATCTCCAGGAAATGTAGTTACATTCAATTAGAATAATTGGTGCGAAAACCGTGAATGGGAATATTAAAACTAACCAGTGAGATGAATCACACTTCACATATTTTTTTACCAATCGGACGTTTAATGTGGACCGAAGTTATATTAATTTAAACCTAAGATACTAGTCAGTGATGTGCACCGTTAGTGTTGTCTACGTTGATCAATCAAAACTTACTTTTTAGGTGGCTGGTCGGGCTCTAGGTGACCTTGTGAAAAAGTTGGGTGAGCGCGTTCTTCCTGAGGTGATTCCACATCTGGAAGAAGGCCTCAATTCGCCAGACGAAAACAGGCGCCGTGGTGTCTGCAACGGTCTCATCGACATTATGAACAACTGTCAGCCAGAACAGGTACGTCTTCAATTGGTTTTCCTATTTTCTTTTAGGTGGATTTTAGAGTCAAATTTTTAGGCTTAAGCCAATGCTTTAATAGTTCATGGTTCATAGTGTCTTGTGACCGACACTAATCTAAGAATATGGAGTTCTATCAGCGTTTCACATTGCTAATAGGCAGCAAAAGCTTCAACAAAGGTTCGTGTTATGATAATATTTAATTTTGTAAAAACACGGATGGCAAAAACGGACTCCTACGGCTTGTTTCATTGCATTTGATAATTTGCAAACGGTTTTAAAGAGCACACTTGGTGCGTTCTATATTGACCGTTTAATGCACTTAGACATTTTTTGTCGCTTGAACGCGTGGTTACCATTGCCTTTTATGAAGAATTCTAAATGAGTACTGAATATTTATGCAAAATACTTGAAAAAAACTGACGCTGGTATGGCTCAATTGCCCTTCTTAAAATGCGTAAATGCCCAGTTTAGTTTGGAGGACGAGATGTTTTCAGTAACGGGGGTGTTAGGTTTTTGCACTATCTAGAGGAAGGAATAAAGACATTGTTAGATTTTACACTGCTCTTAAAAGCTAGACGCATCATGACGTTTTCTGCTTTGCTATTGCACAAATTGACCTTACAGGTATCAGCTACAAATGAGTAGTTAACCAATTACGTGCTCACTGAATGATCCGAAACCATTACATAATCCCATGCCTACCCGACTTGGCGTTGGTGAAGATGCCTGGTAGGTAGAGTGGATACAAAAGTGTTATCTTAAGTCATGTTAATTGGTGCTGAAATGTATCCATAGGTCAGCGAAATCTTAACACGTCCCGTAGATTGCCTATTTCTCCGACCGTCTGACCTCGCCAATTCGTCGAAGCTTGGTCGACCCCTCGGCGGAGGTTCGTGCTACCGGCGCCCGTGCCTTCGATCTGCTCTATAGCGGTATTCACCTCCGAGCTATTGACGAAATTCTTCCTGAACTCTTTGTCCTCCTCGACGATCCACAGAGACGTGAATTTGCTCTAGACGGCATTCGCCAGCTCCTAGCCATCCGAGGTCGAGCCCTGATGCCCTACCTCGTGCCAAAGCTCACCCATCCCCGTCTCGACGCCAAAACTTTTGCGCATCTCGCCCCCATTGCTGGGGATTCACTGGCGCGCCACCTCGACCGCATTCTGCCTGCCTTTCTAGAGGCCGCGGTCGGTGTCGATGCGTGCGCAAAGGAAAGTGCGGATCTACGCTACTGCAGTATCGTTCTTGCCTCTATTAGTGATACCACCGCTGTGCGGTCCATTTTGCAGGAACTCATTACCGGTCTCTCGCTTAGTGACTCCAACGCTACACAGATTGAGTTCACCAGTTTGAAGCCCAATACGCCGGAGTACTGTTACGCCTGTCTGCGTCTTCTTCACGTCTACTTGGAGGCCTTTCTTGTGGATAACGCGGGAGAAGAGGAGAGAGAACCCCACATGATTTCTGTGCGTAGAAAAGTTACAAATGTTATAACGGAGGAATCCGACAATGATGATAGCGATGGAGAAAACACATCAAGAGGACGAAGTGGTGATGACGATGATGATTTCATGGCAAAAAATAATGCGGGTGATGACGATGGCAGTGATTCATCAGACGACCATGATATGTTTCCTCGGCCAAGAGATCCCAAGGAATCACTGAGATGCCTGCTACCTGATTACTACTCACCACTTTTGCGAAATCTCTCCAAGCTTCTCGCTGTCAAGGACTTACCATTAATGACCTTTGCTTGGGCCTGTCTTGAGGCCATTCTCAAGGTAAGATCTCCTCGAGACATTCTATTGTCAACTTTTGTTCATTGGTTCAGTTTTAAATTCATTCTGTATGGAGTTTTAACCTGCACAGTTCAGCTTTAATCGCTCTGTAATCTCCATTTCTTTTGATGGTCAGTGTTCGTGTATGTTGCCGTGGTGAATGTATTGTTATGTTTATGTGGACAGAAAACTGTGTACACCACATGACAAACGAATTTGTCCCAGATGACTGAACTTGTGTTAATTGTGTTTCATTTGAGACTGTTAGCTCAAACGTCATCGTGATCTACTTGTTCCAGCCTGTTACGTTTCATCTGGGCAGACGGATTAGCACACAAAAACACTTCCTAGTTAGTCACTGGCCACCATGCAGATAATACTAAGTTGTCATCGCAGCAAAACCAGTTAAAACCAGCCGCGTTTTGTAATTTTGGCTTGTTTTTTGTGGTCCTTGTCTTTTTATTGTGTTTTGATTGTATCTGTCCTGATTTGCGATAATATCCAGACGGACGACTGGAATCCCAGTATTGCTAGAATATTGTGGCACCTTATTCGAAGTATTTTTTCCATTGTAACGTATCTAGTTTAACGTATGTGAAAGGGACCATCATATTTGTACACAAATAACAATACCTAATTTGCACATTACTACTCACATCGATCAGTAAAAGTAGACTTAGTCCCGAAGTTGATATCTTTTTTGACTCAGTGACAAATCTCTAGAAGCTGACATTAGTTCCAAAATAATTACTTGTTTTAAAAGTCGTGCTTGGACACATTCATCGAAACCCATACTGTTAGATTTTTGAGTATACCTTTGTTTCAGTGTCAGCAGTACCAGTTCAATACGTATTACTAAATTTGAAACTCCTATATGATGATGAGGCTTTGGAGGTCCTTGACATCTGCCTCGTAAACTGATCTACTTCCGTTATAATGTTCTGACAGCTTTCAAACTCACTGTTGAATGCCGTCAAACATGTTTCTGCATCAGTATTGACCTCTGTTATTATTCTGGAAGTGTCAGATGTAAGGAGGTGGTGGTTTACAGCGCCTCACGCAAATTGAAATCTATTTCTGCAGTATTGGTCCACCAATTCAATCTCCGGTGACAACGTGATTGAGCTTCAGAAGGCCATCAAGACGGCCACTGTGGACTTTGTGAGCAACCAATTGCGGTTGCAGCGTGAGCGCGCGCAGGACGTGGTGGCAGGACGACTGATGCTACTACCAGGCTTCTCGGAGCCCACTCTGCCGCTGCCCTCTCTGGTGCGCTTCTATGCCGACTGCATCCTCCAGGGTAGCATGGACGCCAAGGAGCCCGCCGCTCAGGGCCTCGCTGAGTGTGTTGCCCTATCCAGTGGCGAGGCCATCCAGCCCTGTGTGGTGAAGGTTCTTGGTCCCATGATTCGTCTGCTTGGCGAACGGCAACCACCCGTCGTCCGAGCCGCTGTCACTGAAAGCTTAGCCACACTTGTTGAAAAGGTGTGCCTCTTTTTCCTGACTCGGTGTCTGTTCAAATTGTGTAGTGTAGTTATGATGAGGTTTTCTTAGAGATATGCTAGTTGAAATAATCGACACATAACGATCTATGTGACTTCTTAAAAATGTGCTTTCTCTATCTTTAGGCTAATCAAATCACGTTTTGCCAACAAAGAAATAATCGTTGGTGACGATGCCTTTTGTATTGTTTGAATACGAAAGGAAGTGGTTACCAATTTTACGCGTTGAAAAGAAAACAATTCTATGGTCATCAGTGATTTATGCTTGAAGTTATTCTAGGAGTGCCAAGAAGACAAAAGGGATGTTTCATAATAAATCATTTCTCAGCAGGGGTTTGAGAGCTTAGTAGCCTATGTGGCGCAGGCTGAGCTTCGTGCCATCGGCGTGAATTCAGATTCTTTGAGAAATGAGCAGAATCCGTATGGTAACATACCCAACTAAAGCATTTGCCGGTCTCTTGCAATACAATAAATTTGTGACTTCTTTGGTTGGTCATATAGTTTAGACGGTCGAAACATTTAACATCTGACAGTCTTCGGTTGTTATGACGACCCTTTTGTGGAGTTTAACCGCCTTAGATTATATCAAATCGCGGGATTCTGTAAATAACTCAATTTTGGGACATCCTGTGATGTGAATGCATGTCTAGGTCAAAGAGACGTTTTTAGATAAACTAACTACGGAATGTTTGAAAATGACGTTATTTTATGTTTTGGAAAAGCCCACTGCTATTTTTTAGTGTTACCTGACATTTGTTAGGCTTAATAGACTTACAGCATTGCCTGCACCCCTAAATTGCGTACCAACACTATTCAGTTGTTAGAATCGAGTTATCACCTTTAAAAAGCAACCTTTACCTTCCTAGATCTATTAGTGACTTACGGCGGAGTACTGGTGTCACAATACTTGCATTATTCATTCTAGATAGCCTAAATATAACCCATCTTAGTTCATAATCAGCAAACCAGCAGTCGAAAACTTACGGATATTTCGGTAAGCCATTCCCCACTTTTAAATCCTAGACATGCCAAAAGGGTGGCTTAAACCATATTTCGGAGATTAAATAACTGACTATCTTTGGATCAGAAAGGGAATCTCGGTAAATTTCAATTCATGTGGCATGTTGCATATGACCTTGGGTATTGTGTGGAAGTCAGTCCAAAGTTAATATCAGCATCTTCAATCCAAGATTCTTTTGGGGTTGTATTATTATTCTTGGTTAAAAAAAATCAGGATTACCACCACTTTTTTACACAGTGTCCAACTTCCACGCGTCCATTCTCACCGCAACTGCTAGTCACTTTCTCGAAGGTGTTGGGGGACCCAACGAAAGAGATTCGTCTTGTAGGCGGTCTGGGCTTGGCCAACGTGCTGGCCATCTCACCAAAGCTGGACTTCATATTGGTGGACATCTGTACCATTCTGGCCACCACCTTCGACGTCACCATCGCCAACCCACCTTCCAGCCGGCCGCTTGGACTTCATCAACAGATACTCGCTGCTGCGGCTACCTACGCGTCAGTTTTTCAGCATTAACTTTTCACTTATTATTGGGCAATAAAACTGAAATATTTAACTTTTAATTGCAATTTTATGCGATTGTGAGTTACATAACCAATCATAGTTTATGCTTGAATGATTGATGTATTGTTGCCTGTCTACAGCGAAGAAAAATGCGGACAGGTTTGCAGTGATAGTCAGTCTATGCAGAGTTCGAGGTTAAATACTTTAAATTTCAGTTTATACTGCCCAGCCATTGTTAATTGAGTACTTCATTGACCTTTCAGTCGTTATTGCCCAATCTTATCTAACCAAACACCACCCTAATTCACCATATTCGTCTGAATGATCGTAGTAGACATCCTCATGCCGCATTCATTCAGTCACAAAATATAATGTTTCCGATTTTGTGCTCTGACAAAAAGCTATATGACTAATCTAAGGGAACACTCAACCTATGGCGGAGTTATGCCATCATTAATGATGATCCGTTTACGCCTGCTTGCAACGGAAAATTCAAAAGACAGTCTCGTTCCATATTTTGCTATTGCAAGTTTGAATGAAGGATGCTACTTATCTCAAGTTTTGTAGTTTAAGCATAGTTAAGTGAGTGTTTTTTTCTGTCAGTTTCTCTTGACCATTATTTACCGAATTGTCTAATTATTTTCAGCGGATGTTCACCACTGTAGTGATTTGATCGAGTCTTGGGACGTCATAATAGTAGTGATAGACCGCAAAGTGCCCATCGTCAAATTTTTATGAATGGTAAATTTCGTACAGTGTTTTAGCAATGAGTGGTGAAAAGTGGTTTATCTTAGCTACGCAGTAGGAAGTTGGAAGGAATACCTTATTTACATCATTGATTTGTTTCAAATGAACTAACTTTGTTAGGATGGAACCTGTGCTAAACCTTTCTTCAATTCCATGTTCAGTTATACTACGTAATTCAATCTTATAGTTACTCCATGACTTTAACTCGGGTCTCCCCTCTGATCTCTCTAAGCTCACTTTGCTGCAGTAATCCTTCTCACTTGAAATACACTATATCGCTGTAAGGCACCGGTGTTGGAGCATAGAAGGGCCTGGAGACAGCGTAGATGGTATGAGCAGAACTCCATATTGCCGTCGTTTAAGCTGATTCACAGGAGCTCGGAAGGGCCTGTCTGCATTCTGAATGTTATGCTGTTACAATAACGCGCATTAAGTCTATTGTGGAGATTACATTAATAAATGGCATGACTTAGGACTTATAGATTCATAAACATGCTCTAAAGAAGACGTATTGCAAAATATTCACAAATTAAAACGCGCGTTTAAATTAATAATGACCATAAGCCATTCAAATGGGACGGTAGAAATGTTGACCCTCCTGGATGTCTTCAGAGACACTATGCTTCAATGTCTGCGCAACTGTCTACAAAAGTCTAGTGGGAAGCCAAAACTGACTACCCTACGCACCGTGATTGACTACTTGACGCCATTGGGCTATCTTGCTGACGGCGCGGGAGCGGGAAAGATCGACCCGACGGTCAATCTCGCTGACGTCCGAAGGGCCGCCAACGCCTGTATAGGCGCCTCCGTCGCCTCTGCCTCTGTTATCACCGACGTGACTGCCTCGGACGTTATTGGCTTAATGCCGTGGTGCCAGTCCTCCGCCAATATTCTGGGTCATTTTTTGTTTATCAGTTTTTTTTTCTGGAAAGTTAGCGCCTTTTGAAAGCTAGTTTTGGCCGTGTGTTTCTCGAGAATAGGCGCTTATTTGGTCTACTGATTGAGCTAAATATTTTAATTACGTAAGAGATTTTGACTTCCTCACTTTTGGAAAAAACAATTAGGAACCACTAAACTCGGGTTTGGATCATTTACTTTGGTTCAGCAGCCGTACCTAGTAGAACTTGGCTTGCGAAGATCGATTCTACTATATTGGAATCCAATGGATTTTTCTTTTTTCAGCTGCTCATAATGTAAATAGATTCAATCTTTTAGACCGTTATCCGTATAATGTAAATGATTTTGTTCCAAAGCACGATGTTAAAATTTTCTGATTTCCGAACAATCTAATTGGGACCATGCCACTCTATGTCTTGCCACCGCGCAGTCTAGCTCGTTACAAGGCGATCCTAATTATATCTGGACATGGGCACCCCACAAATTAAGGGTAAGGGGTTCAATAACACAACACAAATTCGGACTTATTCACCCGGATCTACTTAATATTCTTCAAAGCAGCTTCTTTCAATGACATTCTGTTTTTTATTTGTCCTAAATTTCTCTTGTAAACATTTTGATCCAAAATTATCAGGGATATTTCAGGAAAACTGCAGACATGACCTTATCATTTTCATTCCTGAATTTATATGGTAATTAGGCGATAATGCGTGGTATTTATCTGCTTGCAAACAAACTATTTTTAGTGAAATTATTTGATATTTTTGAATATGCCGACTTATACATACCTACGTGTTTTCGGATAGTGTGCATGTCCATCTGATATATTCTCATTTAACTTCTTCTGATTCTAGCTTTCCACTTCGCTATGAAAGCCAAAATAATATATATTCAAAACGAATGTGAAAATATTCTTGTGGATTCAGATCTACCGCTTTATTCAACCTTCTTTAATGTGCTTTTGTTCTGACATTGTTACAAGGATCAAGATTTTTCATAGTTGAAGTGTCCCCAGTGTGCATTACTTACAGACTCGAATTTTGAGTTTTATTGAAACGCTTCCAATCGTTTTGATTCCGTTGTTATTACAATACTGGACCTGTTTTTGTAAATTATTTACAAGATGCATGATTACTTTATTCAATGGCCGATGCTCCTCTGTTGAAGCCACCTCTATTTATTGATAACAGAAACACTGAGTTTCTGGGTATGCGCTTGCTTCTACTTCTATCCACTGCTAGAAACACCACTGGTCCTCCAAAGCTATGCTCAGGCGATAATGGTAGTTTCATTGTCGTCACCGAAGACGTTGGTTCAGAGCACCTTCGAGGAGGTCTACGATCAATGTCGTTTTACCATCGCCAAGTGCTGCACCAGTGATGTGGGTTTTAGCCAACATGTCTATCTCCTCTGCTGTTCATCCCCACACTCACTCTCTTGTCCATTTCAGCAAATTGAGGTGCGCCAAGCGGGCCACCGATCTCTAGGATTCTTCCTTCATGCCTCGATCGTGGCCTCCAAACCAGATGATCAGATTTCGAATCTGGTTAAAATTATCGCTCAGGTGTGTTTGCTTTTGATCTACTCATTCTTTGATGTTTACATGTAAGAAATTTGAACTGATGGGCTTCGGTCGATTGCTAAATGTATTATGCCATTGGCTGCTCAGTCGCCTTGTGGGTGTCCTACTTACTTAAAGGTGCAAATATGTGGTAATTCATAGGCAATTTTAAAGGTAGCACATATCTTAGTTTGCGTATTATGCTATTTGCATACAATGGTGTTTACGGATTACTTGTTCTTATCAAGCAGTAGAAATCTGGTGTATTTTCTAGGGCTGCTGGAGCATATCCGGACTTATCTTAGCGTGGTGCTTTTATTAAATAAACTGATTTAGTTAATCATACTAGTGAAGATCCTCTTGTATATTTCAACGTTTATTAAATAATTTAGGTTAAAAGGGAGCTTATCTACGGGTTACCTGCTCGCGGTATTGTCTGAGGACCTCCATGAGATGTATCGTACAATAATAAGGTGATCATGATAGTGAGAAGGTCAGAGGTCTGAACAGCTCCATAAGTCACACGTTTTTCGGCGTTGGATCTGAATAAACGCCTAGAAGAACAACCAGAACCAATTAAATGAATGGATTTAACCGAATATGCTGACCACTTTTGAGTAAAAACATAGATATTAATTATTATTTGGCTTAAATTGATAGGTTTCTTTGCATTTATACTCCTAAATGTTATTTTTAAATCCCCCATTAATGCGTATAATGCCCATTAGTTCATTGGGCCACTAAGACGTAAATTGGTTATTGTAGTAGCTTCCAACTAGAACCATAAATGGCTCGATAACAGAAATACGCACCCACTCAACGGTGCTAAGACCTAATTGTCACTTAAAACATCACTCAATCAGCTATGTTGCCATCATTGACAGGGACTAAAGCTGAACCCGCCGGAAGATCGCATGCTGGTGGCGAAGATAGTCTGCTGTATAGCAAGTCGGATCAATCTGCGCAGCCTCCTCAAGGGAACCGGCAAGAGTCGCACCGATCCCCCACCTGCATGGCTCTTAAACCTCGTCAACGCGCTGTGCATCGCCTCAAAAGACAAGAATGCCAATGTCTGCACTGCCGCCGAGGAGGGCATCGTGTCGCTATGTCAAATTGGCGGGTCTAGTTGTGAGAAAAACGATATCACTGCGGTCAGTCCCTAAAGCGTTTCACACTTTGCTACATTACTTTTTGATTAATAAAATCCAGTTCGGTAACGGTAGCCTCTGTTGTACTTAATATGTAGGCAAGGGGTGATCGCTTTATTTTATATGAATTAACTTATTAGTGGTTCTTACATTTGATTTTGTTTTGCAAAAAACTTTAAACTATTAACTTGTCGGTCACGGATAGCTGATTAACACTATTCAAGTGGAGGCTTTTACCCTTCAATTGAGGTCGCGTACAAGGAAACTTATGATAATTTTTTCGGCGAATGGAATGGACGATAATAATCTATTAGTACTTCTCAAATGTATGACTAATTTCTGATACTTGGGTCATTAATTCGACCCTTCTGTACTGTGTCGTGGCTATCGATGATCAACAAATCACCGTTCCCATTGTGCCCGGTGTATGCTTTTACTAAGATCCATAAAACTGCACTATTTGGAGGGTCTCCGCCTTGACTTTAACTTAGCTTAAGCATTTCGATATCTTCTTTAATCAAATGGATTTTCGTCGGCCGGGACTATTTATGGAAAGTACATTTGATCATTCCAAGTGTGCTGTTTTAAAGCACTCTGGTCGTAGTTTTAAACGGTCCTGTTTAGCATCGGACTTAGGACTATTCCATACACTACTTAGGAACGGCAATTTTGTTTCATCACCTGCCATCTATGCGAAAATTTTATTTTCTAGGAAGACCACCTTTTGAATCTAACTTTGACTTATATACATACATCTTTTCTGTTAAATCCATTCTTTGTGTATGAATTATGACTCCTACCGTCTTTAAAGTGCTGTATAAATGCTTTCAAGGTCTCGTTTTACCGCCTTAAAGCCTGAACTTTGGAGTATGCGCCCAAACCGTGCGCACAACGACTCATTTCCACAAAAGGCACCTTTTCACCTACTGTGTACCTCTTTTTATGGACGCTTATCCGTTCATTAACTTTGGTACCTTATTTTTACATAATAATTTGTATCAGTTTCGCATAGAGAGGACTGTTGTTTTTGATTGAGCCTTGTCCTCCGACTTAATCATTAGGGTACACGGGACACCTAGATTCAAGAATGTTTTTGTTGCACATGACCACTTAGCGGCTCTGATTCCTCGCAATTTCTCGAATAACCTGCTATTTGCCTTGTTTTGGCTCATTTTCTGTGACAACGCTGCTGTTCGACCCTAATGTGCTATTGGAAGGCGACTTGACCGGGCATAATAAGCGCTGCTTCGATATCTCGATCCCTCTTTACAGAGGTCAACTGAAGGTAGTCCCACTTTTTCAGCAGCTTATTGTCACAAAGGCGAATTCCTGCATCTTGCAACAGCGGTTTGGCATTCACAGTAGCATTACCTGATTGAAACGTCAAACGTCTGTTCATTCCTTGTTTCAGTTTCTTGGACACGTAACACACAATTTAGCAGTTCAAATGCGCCTGCGAGCTCAAATGAGGGCAAGTGAAATCTAACCTGCCTTCTCTCCTTTTTTTCTTTGCAGCTCATTACCAAGAGCTTGAATCCGAAGGAAAAGGTGTTGTTCGAAGAGACCCTAGCTCGAGTACACAAGAGAGCCATCGGTCCGATCTGGAATCGCGAAACGCGCTGGATCGACAACACCGAGATATACCTACCTTCGCACACCTCAAGCTTTTGAGGGTGCAGCCTACTCCATCTGCTTTACCTTTCTACTTTGTGTCAATTAATGTGACGTATTTTGGAGGTTTGTAGTACATTTGCTGTCGAGATAGTTGCCTCTTTACTCTTGGAGGCAATCTCCATCTCAATAAACTATTGCAATAAAACTTGTTACTGGCTTTAATGTTTAGTCGAGGTTAAATTGCGTTTGTGGTAGTGAAAGTGTAATTTTGGGGGCCTGGTAAACACAGACGTATATCAAAAGCAAATTTTGCAATTTGATGACGGCCATTGCCATCGTAGCTCACCGAGACTTCCCTGAAGACGAAGACGGTACACGGGAAAAGGCATGGGGTCTACTGGCATAGCCCGTAGACTAGTCCCCCGGCGGAGGTGCCACGGCAGAGTGGACCGTTACCGAAACCAAGAATTAAACAAAGTATTACGGCAGAGTAATATAATGAGTTGGTATAACCAGCGTAGCGAGAATCTCTGTAATAACGAACACGACACATGGGATCTGGAGTAAGAACCTGTGTTGCTCCAAGGTGAAGATAGTCGCAATCTACATTCACAAATCGAGTCCAGTCGAACACTCTTCGGTAGGAATGTTGAGAAACGAATTCACATTTGACGAAGTACAAAAAGTTCTTGTTTTCTGTGATGACATGTAGAACCTGTCGTACAAAACGTGTCCACTGATACACAATCAAGCATAAAGCAACCCAGACTCACGACAAAAGCATGAGTTAGACCGTAGAGAATCTAAGCACTTTGAAATAGTGATACCCAGTTACAGTGTAGAGAGCTGCATGTCTTGACAACCAACCAAAAGGAAGATAGACTCATGCCTCTACATAAAAGTGCCATCTGTAACATTGATATAAATCCCGACGCCTAACTGTGACAAACAGCGTTTCATAGCTATCCGAGCAATGTATGTGAGAGAAATCGGTGGACTCTAGCCTTGAATTACCACTTTCTTGGTTGTTCTGAATCTGATTAGGCAAGTTCAAGGAATGAAACTCCCAAACAATAAT